GAAATAAATAAGGAGTAGCTAAATATAATTCAATCCACTGGTCTGGCGATGATACTTTATTGTTTGTAGCGAGAAAAAAAAAAAAAAGAGATGAAAACCTGGCTGGGGAGTAGGTGATAACATGGATTATCTGTTCTTCAGAAAAGATCGTAGACACTACATTGTAAAGGCGTTTATCATACAACGCAGTTTGTGTTTATGATCATTAAAATTAACTAATATCAATAGCATATTAATAACTCCTTTCTATAGACTTTGTTTTAGGGCTTGTTCTTGTCGGCGCAATATAGGCATGTACGAATAAGATTATGAAAAATAATTAAGAGCTTGCAATTTTTATTGCATCCTTTTTGCAAGTTATTTTATTTATCTATTTATTTTTTTAAGTGGTGAGAACATTATTCACTGCCAAAAATGTTCCCCCCATTCCACTAACAAATAAAGTAGCCTACCTAAGTTAATTAACCTTTTATGTAAAAATTAAGGAATAATTTATAACTTAATTAAATATTATTTAAAATAACATCTGTATAAATATATGTTTATTTTTTAACTTTCGTTAATAAAACAACACAATACAGCTTATAAATATTGTAGCTATATATTAAATAACTAACTGCTTGAAACCGTATAATAATAATTAAACATTACATTTTTAAGAACTTCACAAATAGCCTATATGGCACTTTACTTATCAGTAATAATATAAATAGTAAGAATTATAAGAAGTACAAAAATATAAGCCTACTTGTAACAACATAAGTCAGATGTTTAAAAAACAGCGTAGGTTCTCTCCCCTTTTGTTTTCTATTCATGTATTAAATTCTTTGCCAGAAAAACTAACATGTAGACATTTTCTGTTTAAGTGAAGACCTAATTGGGGTTAAAATGTTTCCAGCAATACACGTTGTGTGTGTGTGTGAGTGTGTGTGTGTGTGTGTGTAAAGAGCAGGTAGAGTGTGAGGGGCTAGGAGACTTGTGTCGATCTCTTCCCCAGTTCTTCTTCTGAGGAGGGTAATGTGTGTGTGTGAAAAAACAGCAAGTAGAGTATGTCGAGGCTAGGAGACTCTTGTCGATCTCCTCCCCAGTTTTTGCTTAATAAAATAGTCATCTGTATTTTCAAGTCCATCGTCTGTATTTACATTCACCCACTGGCACTATGAAGTGTGTATGCACTCTAACTACTTTAATTGATTAGCTGCTGGGCATTTCACTCTTTCTTGTGCTAAAGGCTGTCAGTATCGACTAATCGCAAAAGGCTGTCATCGGTCCAATCAGTGCAGATTGGCTTTGCGCTAAGGAGGGGTTTGGGAACAAATGATTTACTGAACAATTCATATGGGAGTCGCTTGGATAAATGCATATTATAAGACCATGAAAGTGTTTTTTGACCTTGCATGCATATTAGACCATTGTTTGAGACTGTTACAATCCTTAATAGCAATATGTCTAGGGAATAAAAAGGTGTAACAAAGATGACCAAAGTATAAACTGACGATGAAGGATGGCAAGAGAAAACACAAAACAACAAATTAGCACTGCACAAGATGTATTGCTCCCACAGTATTTACAATATTTACAAACAATAATATCATGTTGAAAAGAACCAAGACAAATGGGAGAGGGAACTAAAGTTTGCGCTAGCAAATCAAAGAAATAAATATAACAAAAAAATTCCCTTAATCTCCTCCCCAATATAACAAAAAAAAACAATATTAGAAAAAGTCTTTAGCGCAAAGGCGCCCTGAACTTATATACAATTTTCTATCACACAAATTTCGCACTTTGCTAGTGTGTCTATACATCAATAATCCTGCGTGCAAAGTATGTAAGTCACGTGACTTACTATGTTGTTCCACATCTCCCTTGTCAAAAGTCACAGAAGGTTTTTGAATGGAGCATTAGTGGACTAGAGATAATGAAAACACACATCAGAACTCTCAAACAAATCTCACTCAAAGTCAACATCAGTGACATCTACAAACACAAACGAACACCACCAAACAGACCATATGCCAAAACAACAACAGCAGATGATCTCTCTTCTTCTTCCTCAATTTAATGGCGGTTGACAAACAACAAAACGGTGTATTTCCGCCACCAACTGGTATGAAGTGTGGATCAGTATGACTTAACCCTCACCTACTGCTTTCTTCTATTAAATCCTCTCCCATAAATGAGAATTTTTAAGATATTGCAATAAAAAGGTAAAACATTTATTTCCTGAGTTATTTTGTAGAATGTCATCTAATTTGAATTGAACTTTTATCTGTTCTAAATTCTTGCTAAGTTCTCTCCTTTCATCTTTATACTTCATGCAGTATAATATAACATGTTCTACCGTCTCTTCTTGTCCACAAAACTCACATTGCCCTGTACTATGTTTACCCATTTTAAAAAAGTGTACTATTTAACTTTGTGTGTCCACATCTCATCCTAGATATTATTACCTCTTCTCTCCTGTTTTTTCCTACACTTCTAATTTCCAACTTTTTTTTTTTGAATTTTAAAAAAACAACGGCCCTTTTTTTCATTACCCCATTGTTTTTGCCACCTTTCCTTCATTATTTTCTTAATAATACACTTGACTTCACTCTTATACTTAAATTTATACTGATGTCATTATTTTTAACAGCTTGTTTGCTTCCTTATCTGCAATTTCATTACCTTGAACACCAATATGCGCAGGTAGCCATAAAAATATTACTGTTATACCTATCATTTGAATTCCATACAATGTTTGCATTATTTCTAATAAAATGTCTGGTCTACTTTCTGAATTACTATATCATAAACTTGCCAGTGAAGTACTTGAGTCAGAACAGATGATTGATTTCAAAGGCCTTATCTCCTCTACCCATCGTATTGCTAATACAAATGCAATAATTTCTCTTGTATATACCATGACTTCATCACTAATCTTTTTCCCGACCAATATTTCAAATTCAGGAACTGTAAAGGCCACTCCTAGTCTATTTAAGCTCTTAGAGGCATCTATATATATATTAACATAACTGTAAAATTCATTAATATATTTTTGTACATAAAACAAATTACATTCCTCATCCTTTTCTCTCTTTTCTAATAGTGTAAAATCTACTGTTGCGTCTGGTAGTAACCATTGTTTAACTACTGGTAAAGGTACAGTAGGACTAATTTTAAATGACTGACTTTTATTTCTGTTGCTTTTTTTAACACTGTCCACCCAAAACTTTTATTTTCCTCTTTTTTCCAACAAGGTTTTAGTGTTTCTAGTGTTGGATGTTCTTGACTGCCCTTTCAAATTTACCCAGTAACTTACTGACAGTTGGACTCTTCTCATTTCCAAAGACATTTCCCCCAATTCAATTTGTAGTGGTGCAATTGGTGTAGTTTTAATTGCACCTATACTTAATCTTAATACCTCATGTTGTATTTTGTCCAATTTTCCAAGAGATGTCTCTGCTGCTGACCCATATACCACACAACCATAATCTAGCACTCATCTAATCAACCCACAATAAATATCTTTTAATGCTACCCTATCTGCTCCCCATTCACTACCTACTAGAAACCCTGATCAAACCTGACCCATGACAGACAAAGGGCAGAGGGTTGCTTTCCAACTACTTTTTTGTTTTTCTTTGCATATGAGGATTTCTTTGTTTGTTACCAACATGTAGTGAAACACTCAAGTCAACAGCATCATTGAAAATATGTTTTCTGAAAAAAATTGGTGATGTGTTCAATACTCCTGTGTCCGGGAAATAAGCACCTGGACATCCCTTTCAGACAGCTTTCTCTTTCATCCAGTTACTCCTGTTGGATGTGGTTCGTCCTTCTTGGTTGTATGCTAACATTACCCTGGATAACGTGGCTCTTGACGTAACACAAAGACTTTCTGTCTCGGTCACTGATGCGTCAGCAAGACACACACCAATAATCTGTCCTCTTTTTAACTTTTTTAACCCATAATGTTGTGTTCCTTGCAATTATTTAAGCAAAAACTGTGTCATAACGCTAATTAAACCTTCACCTTCTGCTTTTGCTGGTGGAAAGTGCAATCAATGAATTTTGGCCACCAGTTATTTGACTGGAATATGTGATCCCACAGTATGGACACCTACTGCATCTTTCTCTCCAGTGCATGTTTTCTTTATTTTCAACAGGTAGTATTTTGTCATGATCAACTACAGAACTGAACAGCCTCTTTTAATGCAAGCGTATGAAATAGAATAATGAAAAATAAAATTTTATTAGGAGACTGTGTATTAAACTTTCAAAGATTGATCCCAAACATCTCCTAAAACAACAGAAAATAAAAACAATAATTGTGCATAGATTCAGTAAACTTCAAAACTGCATCTTTTTTTTACTGAAAATCCTACCATTCCATAACAGTGGGCACAGAAGACAACAACTGTTCAATCCTGTGTGTATTCATGGAAATCAGACTGAAATACATGTGCATGAAATGAGACAGAATCTAATATTTTCTGTTTTCTATGTAAGCATGGATGATTGATGTTTGTGACCTGTCTTTTGCAGCACATTGCACATGAGCACACAATTCCTTCATGTTGCCCCAACAAAAATCGATTAAGTAATGGACTGAAGCAAACTGAATATAAAACAGCTAAGTTGTCCCCAAAATACTCAAGAATAGTGTTGTTTCAGTTCATTTTTAAATAAGTAGTTTGGATGAGTTGCAAACAATTATTTGTTTGAGTGCTTGAGGTTCATATATTACGACATGAAGGGTATATATTGGAATATATTTGCAAGGGTGCCACCTTAGTAACATATTTTTTTTCAATTTTTTCTTCATTGACAATAAAGATATATTTCGCCCATACTAATAAATAAAAACATTAACATACATTTTGCTCATTAGTTAACACCTTTGTATTTATTTACCAATAGTCACTGTAAACCATGAAAAAGCTGCTGCATATTTACTAAACCAACATTAATCTGTTTAAGCTCTGTTTTAACAATTAATTTTTTTCTTTTGACAACAGATCTTAAGTGGGGTTATTCTGGAGATACTTGCAGAGGAGTTTGGAGAGTGCTTTACACCAGAGGTACAGACTTCCTGGTCCAAACTGATGGCAGCATTGTACTGGCATATCACAGGGGCCTATACTGAAGTGGGGTGGGTCAAACTATCCAGCTCAGCAGTCTGAGAAGGCCTGGCACATTCACAATCAACACACATAAGATAACACTGGCTGTGATCAATAAGTTTGGCTAGCTAAACAATTGATGTAATATGAAAAGGTAAAAGAAAATAATTCTGAAAGAAGTGAGACTGAAATCTGTTCATCATTAAATGTGTCATTCTCTTGTACCTTGTTTTATACATAATAACTCAGTATATAGTATATACTGACTTTTCAGATGTTGTCTATGCCACGTATAATGTGCTATTGTGAATTTTAAGGTTAGTATTGTGTACTTACTTAATCTCAACTCTATAGCCTTCAAGTAAAATAATGGGAAGTTGGGATCATTTGAATACAAATAAAATGTTACAGATTAATTCACTAACATAAATAACAAACAAAAGCAAACGGTGACATCTCAAATAAATCAATAATGCATCTATGAATATATAGGAGACAGTAAAGATGAATTCATTGTTTATCTGGGTATTTATGCAGGTTAAGTTAGCTCATCTCGCCTGTCAGCTTCTGGGTCCTCAGGTAGTTTACTGGTTCTTGTCACATCACATACCCATAAACTAAAATTATGCAGGCTGTCCTAATCCAATAACAGAACAAATTAGTTCAATATCGGCATTATGATTGGCCAGATTACCAGCGAAGGGTCAATTTTTCAACCACAAAGTTATTAAAGATTGTTTTTAACACACACACATAAAAACAACACCCCTTTTCACCATGATATGCTAAATTAGTTTGGAAAGACACGCAAAGTTCTGAAAGAATGATTTATAGATTTATCTAACCAAACATTAACTGGATAGGAAAAATGGTAAGGGACTGTACCCACTAAAAGTGATTCATCAATCCTGCATATTGATTAGTTATGCTGTGTGCACAAACAATTTTAGTCATCCAAACTCTCAGCAAGGCTTATGTGCTTAAAACACTTTTTTTTAAAGTCATACTGTACCAGGAGGTGGGCCAGTTTTGCTATAGAAATACTTTATATTAGCAGAAAGATAAAAACTTAGGTATTTGTTTAAGTATCAAAGCATAGTTTCATTTGAAATTATATTATTATAAAATAATTATACGATTACCTGATAACACCTGTAAATCCAGGCAAACAATGTTAAACTGGTCCCTTAATTTATCCCATAGATGTGTGTTTGTATAAATTGCCTTAGCAGATGAATCACATATTTCAGTATTAATCACCTAACATTGATGTTCTGTGGTAAATGTTATATTTTTGTAATTATTACTGATTTTGTACCAAGTATGGTATCTCATGTATCGATACTGACTGTATGATTTGTTTTCTTTTTGGTCATAATATTACATTTGAAGGGGTTATACAACATTAATACAAAATAAAATGAAATGTTACTGTGATTATAATAAATATTCTCTACAAGCATGTGTTGCAAGCTTGTGTCTGTGTGTTCAACTTCATGCAATGCTGTAGAAAGCAATTGAATTATGTGAATTATTTCTTGAAGTAGTACATTCTGGTTGAAAATTTTGTCTGACTTGAGACACTACAGATGCCATATCACTATTGCGTGTAGCATGAAAATAGCATAAGGGCATTTGGAGAACAACCAGTGGGCTGGCCGATGCAGCTTGAAAAACAACCACATGTGTTTCAGGTTTATTAATCGACAGCATTAGTCTCACTAATGGTCAGTATGGACTTTAAGCACACAAATGACCTTTTATGTAAATTTTATATTATGGTTAAACATTATATGCTCCAAGTTTTTTATTAGCCTGTAATTTTAGTTGATAAATACTCCCCATTTAACATGTCAATTTTCTCAACCTCTGGAAGCCAGTAAGCTTGAAAAAAATATATTTTGTGTTGGTTGGACATCATTTTTATTTTAGATTTAAAAAAAGGGATGTTACTTTTATTCTAATTCAGAGTTTTCTGTAAATTGTGGAAGGGATATATGAATGGCTTATTAAGACTAGATTACTACTTACTAAACGTTACTAAACATGCGCAAATTTGCATAAACTCCCTGGACCTACTGTAACACCTACTAGCGCCCCTGCTGAGATTTGCACAGGCCTTCAGCTCCATTGTTCACCTGCTTTTGTTGTGCAAACACACTCATTACCTGTGAAGCCTGGCACATTTGGATTTTTTAGCTTAAACGAGGGCAGGCTGAACCTTTGTGTTTGTTCAGATATGCCTGCCATATTTATACAAAAGACACACATTCACAATATATGGATACACAAGTCGGTTATATTTTTAAAAGTATTTCAAACTTTTCCGTGTTTGCAGACTCAGTGTCCATCTTCCCTGCATTTGGCACAGGTGAATTTCTGACGTGTTGCACAAGTAAACCTGCTGCAATTCCTATTGCAGGTCTCTTGCACCTGGCACTGCATTGTCTGTACAGTTCCTGGCACAGCAACTGCAGCAGCTTCAGCAGCCTGTCTCTGTGCCAATATTTCCTTGTGCTGCATAAATCAGCAATGAACACAGACACATAAACAGATAGAGTGGTCCGTGTTAACATACTTTTTATCTATTGGCTTTTTATGGGAGGCAGTCTCAGACTGGTGCAATCTCGACCAGACATGCACATTCAGAGTGATGCAATCTCAGCCGGACATGCGCAATCAGACAGCACTCAGCCACATGCGGGCACGATTTTGCTCTCTGTGAGACAGATGCTACCGTGTGTTTTGAGATGAACAGTTTAGCGACCGCTAGTTTGTTGACAGTAAATTAACTTATTCATGAGATTAAATAGGGTAACATTTACAGGAAGATTGCATTAGATAATGTCAATTAATACATTAACACGAATTTACCGTAAACAACACATATGTTAAGCGTTAATAAATGTTACAGTAATATTAATGTTAAATAAACATACGCATCAGTTAAAAAAGTTTCTCATTGTTGTATCTCTTTACATTAACATCTAATGTTTACTTTCACATAGACTAATTTATTTGTTCTTTGATTAAATGACATGACTAAACAATAAAAAACACATTTATTCCATAATACTAAATCGCTGTTAACGTAAACTTATACATGTGTTACTTTATGCAGTTAACGTGATCATATAATGAACAATAGCTCAGGCTCAACACTTCACAATCTTCAACTTGCATGTTTTCTTGTTTGAAGAATATTTTCTAATATGACTGATACCTAGCAAAGCATCAGTTGAGGGATATAGGAACCTTACTGTAAAATGTATACTACTTCAACGTGTTACATTTATAAACTCTATGCTGACTTAACACTAGTTTTGGGCTATATACGAAATTTTCAGATCAACATATTGCCCCCCTGTGAGATTGCCGATACACGACACTATCGCATGGGGGCATGGCAATTATTATAATATTATTATTATCATTATAATTAAACAAATATCTAAGCATATTCAATTACCTTTCGGCTGACTTTTAAACTCATTTATTAACCTATTGCATTTGCATAACGTTTGATCTTGGATAATAATTCTAACCCTCACTTGCAGCTTGCGCTTCAACTGCTGCTGCTGAGACAGAGAGAACCCAAGAGAGCAATCAAAATAATTTATTTTTGTCCAAAAGTGTCAGTCAGGTAATGTTGATGTAAACAGCTGAAGCATTCATATTATTCATAGTTAATTTATTATTAATGATGATGATTAAAAATAACAATACTACTCATAGTATTCAATAATGCAATTAAAACATGTAATATTAGTGCGAAGCAAGCTAAATGTTGTCTTTAAAATCGTCATAAGTTTCAGCTTTCGACGATATCGTCGATACACAATACTATCGTCTATCGGCACAACCCTACTTATACCACTAACCCAACATTATAACTGATGTGTTACTAACATTTATGGGTTTATTACAAAGCAGTGACTAATGATTTTACTGCATCTCGAATCAGTAAAAACCATTTACACATCCCTTTCAGATCCTTTAAGACATTACATTACATAACAGGGAGAAAATTTGCAGATTTAAAAATTTAAAAAATATCAATAAAAAGTTTACAACTGTTAGTAACACATAATGTTGGAGTGATGTACATGTAAAGGGTCAATAAATATGCAATGTGTGCATATATATAAATAATAAAAAAGAGACCCCCCTACAAAAATTTTGCTGAATAAATGGATTTATTGTGAATTCATTAACTATAATGTATTGTTGGGCTAATCCCAAAGTTATTTTTTGTATATCCAGTACAGCACATGCATAAAAGACGTTAAACAGGGCAGCTCGGATTAGAGTTCATTAAAGACCTCGTACTGATGTGTTTCTTTACTTCTCTGCAGGTAAAAGAAATATAGTTTGTATAAACACTTAAAATTAAGTTAAATGAGTTATGATGGCTTCGTTACACATGTAAATGCAGATTTATGCAGTCTTGTGTGATTAATTGGTTGTTTTGTGTGATTTTAGTGAACTAGTAATTAACTTGTGTAATCTGTTAACTAATGTGCAAAGAAACGTTCAAGGTTACAGAAGTAACCCTTCGTTCCTCAAGGAGGGGAACGGAAGTGCCATAGAGTGGATTGATTGAAATCCACGAAATGGGAGGATTCGGTTCAGAAGCCGCTTGTCTGAAAGAGTATTGAACGGGCCAATGAAAGCAATGAATTGGCAGCGTAAGCTTGCACAGGTGTACCTCATTGCCAATATTCCCAGCATATAAGCACACCTGGAGCGAGCAAACGCCATCCTTTTAAGCTGAAGAGAATTTCAAACAGCTAAGGGACAGTCATTATGGCGACGGAGTATGGCACTTCCGTTCCCCTCCTCGGGGAACGAAGGGTTACTTCTGTAACCTCGAACGTTCCCCTTCGGTTGGGGAACTTCAGTGCCATAGAGTGGATTGATTGAAATCCACGAAATGGGAGAAGTATGGAAAGCGCCATAATGACTGCACCTTACCAACGCCCCCGATGAGGGGATTGTCAAGCAAGCGTGACGCACCCACATCATGGGAGGCGCGGTCCTCCAACGTGTCCCTGGCCCTAATTTATCCTACTTCAACAGAAGTCTTACGGATTTAGATATATTTTTTAGGAAGTCGTGAGCATCTAGATAATTCTAGGAAAATACGACAGTACGTTGGGAAGCGTGCAATCCCGATAGGGAGGACGCTGCGGAGGCCATTCGTCACCCAAGGGGGGATAGATGGCAGAATTACATATGGACTAGCCCTAAAAGGGGGAGTACGCATAGCAAAAGAGTGGTTAGCGGAGAGGGAAGACACGGGTCCGCCCAGGGGGGGGGGTGGGGGGGGGGACTTAACCGTGGCGGAATAAGCATATGGGATCGCCTAGTGGGGATCACGCATAGCAGGCACCTTTACCCAAAACGCGGGCTGACCAGCGGGCAGACCTACAACGTAGTGGGCCAGCAAGTGACTCCTCTGCTGAGTCAGTGCTGGGGGCCATGGAGGAATCTGCAGGGCTCACCTGACGGGGAACTTTACTGACAGATAAAAAGGCGCACGTACCTCCGTGTTAGGGAGAATGGCGCAGCAAGCGTGTTTCAACACCCTACCGAATTGTTTCCTCAATCACCAAGGGTTACCTAATACCCTTGAGGAAACCGGCTCCACTCGCAGATTGTAAAACTTTGAAAATGTGTTGGGTGTCACCCAGCCCACAGCTCTACAGATGTCTGTTAGAGAGGCGCCGCGTGCGCGCGCTCGAGAGGATGCGAAGCTCCAAGTGGAGTGCGCACGCACTCTCGGGGGACGCGGCTCACCTCGGCTCTGATAGCGAAAGAAAGGCATCCACAATCTAGTGGGAACTTATTTCGGTACGGCACTTCCCTGCTGCCGACCGCCATAACAGACGAAGAGCTGCTCAGATGATCTAAACTCTGAGTGCGGTCCGGATAATACGCAAAACGCGAACTGGACAATAAAGAAGGGCTGGGTCTGCCTCCGAGGGCAGCGATTGCAGGCTCACTACCTCGTATTAAAACGGAGTGGTAGGAACATTGGGCACATATCGCGGGCGGGGTCTAAGGACGTGAGAGAAAGCCAGCCCAATTACAGGCACGAGTCACTGACCGAAAAATGCCTCCAGGTCCCCGACCCTCTAATCGATATCAACGCGACCAGCAGAGCTGTCTTCAGGGACAGAAAGATACTAAGTCAAGGATCGAAGGGATCTGGTAGCGAGGGCGAGATCCTAAGAGGGCATGAGAGGGGGCGGGGTGGATTAATTCGCTTAGTGCCCCTGAGGAACCGGATGATGAGGTTATGCGTTCCCACGGTGCTGCCAGCCACCGCGTCATGAGAGCGGAGATGGCAGCCACGTAACCTTGAGTGTGGATGGCGACAGCCTGCTCTCCAGCTTCTCTCGGCGTAAAGAAAGCACAACGCTGATCTGGCAAATTACGGGGGTCTTCTCTGCGAGAGAC